TCACAGACTCCAAAAAATAATCGTAAAAATATCATACTTTCGTCCTGAAAATCGAGAAAACACTTCATACAGTGATTATTGGACCTTTGTACCCTGCGAGCAGAGTCTCCTTTTAACTCCTATACGGGCGAGAGAAGGAAAGGAGACTCTGCAGAAATCGTGTACAATTTTATTTGAGCATGCGCAGCGGTTGCTAAGAAACTAACTCGTTCACAAGCTCACTCGTTTCATAAATGGTTTCCGGTTCCTGTCCGAACACGATTACCGCTTAAAACATGTTTTTAGAGTCATGACCTCAGTGAAAGATGATCTCGTGTTCTTCTTTCACTGCTTCATCAAGCTTAGCAGTTTGAAGCACTATTTTTTCACAAGCGGAAATTTGGTCGCTCATCAGTGCCTGGAGCGGAGTTATTGCCACCAAAAGAGGATTTTTAGGGTATCGACTAGCGTTTGGATCGATTTCTTGAAGATGTTTGATCATCGGAGTTACAAGCTGGAAAATAAGTGACTTTGCATGACCTGTCGGCAGCGAAACAAACAGGTCTTTGGCATCCATAAAACTTTCTAGCGATTTCCTTTGATGAGTAATTGGTTGAAATTGATTTTTGTTTTGATAAAACGTGATATAGATCGCTTTCGAAATTACAGTTTGGGATACGATGCGGGCTCAATTTTGGTCATCGGCCATATTTTTTAATACAGACTCGCGCATCAAAACCAGTTTAAACCAGTATGAAACCTGAAATTATGCATCTCATTATCCAGATTCTTGGATAATGGCACTACAAAAGAAATACACGATTTCTGCAGAGTCTCCTTTCCTTCTCTCGCCCGTATAGGAGTTAAAAGGAGACTCTGCTCGCAGGGTAGGACCTTTGAAGAGTATTCTTAGGAAGTTTCAGCTGAATCCAAGTTTGAGCGATTTTCGTCGTAGTAGCACTTTAAAAATTATGAATTAAAAATTAATTATTCATATAATTTTTTTAGAAAACATATTTTTAAATATATTTTTTTACGATCTACCCCACTTTCGTTTAGGTTGCATGCATACTAGAAAAACAAAATGACAGACGCAAAAGAATTTGCCGATCAAATTTGTTCTATTTTCGTGGGCATCTTTTAAGTTCTTTCGATGATTTTCTGAATCGATCGACGTCTTTTAATTTCGTAAGCTACATCAACATGATTTGCGGAATTTATATTTCTATTCCTTTATATTTACTTTGCTTGTTTTATAGGAAAACCAAAGACAAAACTTGATTATTTGCAAGATCTTATAGCTTTCGAACAATGCATTTTGGCTTATTTTTGGCGTAAGCTAAACCTTAGCTTTATCTTGTGTCTTCCAAGAACAAAATTATGCCGACTTAGCTAAAATTAAAATCAATATTTTCCGTTTTTAAGACAGAAGTGATGTGCGAATGACACGACTAGACTTTTCCTGGTTCGATTTAAGTGGAAAAATTGCCTTAATCTAACAAAAAACTGCCGACAGAACAAGAAAAGTCTTGAAAGTTCTGCACAAATTTCTTAGAAATGAAAAAGCGAACTAGGACAACGAGAATATGATATTCTTAACAAATGAAATTCTAAACTTACTTGTTGAAGTACTGTCTCCATTCGCAGTTGTAGTTTTCACGATAAGAACCAAAAAGAAGAGAACAAGAAGTCGGTAGAAGTAAAACAGAAACTTGGACGCCATTTTTTGATGTTTTTTCATCTTCTTTCTTGGTTATAAGTTCATGTTCTATATACACCAAACTGCCAATTCGGACTATATATTTTTCTTGTATTTATGTGATTTGGCATCATTTGCTGTCATTGGGTGTCATTCCCCATCATTCGCCACCATTCCCCTTCATTCCCGTCAGTCACCGTCATAAGACATCTCACTATCTTTGACCATGATTGACCAT